GCCACGTTAACTTTCCCTGTTGAGCTCGTTGTTCTCCAATATGCGACTGCTGCGAATGCTTGCTCGCTAGCATCGACGAACACGTGGAGTTGCACCGTTTCTGGCCTTCCGCCTTGGAAATTCCAGATCGGCCACTGTCGAAAGTTTTTGGCGCCATAAACGCCAAACAGTAGTGCGGTCATCGGAGAGTGGATCGTCCCAGCTCAACTTCCTCTTCCATATCTCGGGTATTAGCAATTTAGCGGTTGTCGTTATGTGGCTGATGAACCCGAGAGGGTCAAAGATCAACATCAAAATGCTGAGCATCTCGCGTTTAGTGGGGCGCCTTTCTCCCACGACAATTGCTTCGTGCATGTTGTGAAACTTCAACTTAAATTTGAAGCTGTAAGTCGAAGGCTGCCAAAATATATCTAAATCCTTCTCTGTAGTTAGTCCCTCCTCGCTCATGATGGGTTTTGCTGTCGCAGTACCACCCAGTGCTGCAAGTACCTTGTCCGAGTTGGGTGTAAAATTGCGTAAGTCAAACCCGGCCTGCTTATGGATCGCTGTTGAAGCTATCAACGAAATCATCAACGTAGTGCCGCTCGAGAATTGCCTGCACTGCTCGTGGCGCCTGGGTGTGATACTCCAAGGCATTCAACGTCTTAACGTAGTGTGCAGCGTATGGTGAGCATGCCGATCCAAACGTCATCACCTTCATCGCTAATACGTCAGGTTCCCTTGAGTTGTCTCCGTCGCGCCATAGAAATCGCAATGCACATCGATATTCTTCTCGAACTCGTATCTGGTGAAACATCTCTCTTATGTCTCCGCACACACCTATTGCTCCTTCGCGAAAGTGGAATAAGGAAGAGATCGGTGCTGTTGGGGCCCTTTCAGTAGCTCTGAGCTTAATTACACGCCATATGACTCGGCAGCGGCGTCAAAAAGCAGCCCTAGCTTTCCTGGCTTGTTGGGGCTCGTGACGGCGAAGTGTGGCAAGTACCCATATATGTAATACTTCTATATTGGTAGTAAGCTAACATCTCAATGTGTAAGCATTCCGAAATCAAAGCGAGACAGTTTAGTACTGTTTTTGTCAATGTATTGTGTACTTGAGTTCCGTTTTTGTAAATGTGTCGTGTACATGTTTATTTATAAACGTATGGGTTCCTTTTCTTTCGTACGTGTTTATTGATATATCTGTACTGTGGTGTTTTCGGACGGTACTAGCTCTTACTGCCAATATAGGAGTATTACATATATGCAAGTACCACGTCTTTGGACAATGCAGTGAGGCCTCATCGGGTGAAATTTTGCGAGCGTAGTCTTTGTCGATATACGAGTTGATTATTTCTCTATAGACTGACGCAAACACTAGATCTCTCTGCATACGCTTTTCGATGTGTACCAACCGTTTGAATGCTGCTGAGTAGCTTTCGGGCATATTGATGCAGTCGCGTTTCTAAAGTAGGCCCACTTTGTATCGCCCGTCTACGCGACGCGTTGTTGTAATTAGTAGCGATCGCGCGCGTGCGTCTTCAGCTCTCTCAATTGGTGGATACGGCTTTACTCCAAAGTTCTCCGTTTCAAAATATTCGCATACCATATTTTCCAGTGATTGGTTAACGGTATGCCCTACGAATGAACCTGCTGTAGGCCGTGGTGCTGATCTTATCGTTGGCTCGAACACGGTCCAACCCAACTCTGTGCTTGCGGCACATGGTCCGTTAGCTTGGATCCTCATAGTCTCAGTCGGGATACCCAGATGGCAGTGGTCAAGCCAAGCAACAACGGCAGATGTTTCATATGTTTTATATGACCGCGTATATCGGTTTCGCTGAGGCTCTGCGATGGCAAACTCAGGTTACAGACACTGAAGACGTTACTCAGTTTGTGCTTCTTCTTCATTCCCGTTCCGCTTACTAACACGATCACAACCTTTGAGGGCTCTTGCGCCTTGTGACCACCAAACCACTGCACATTCAGTTTTTGATGTTCACCCTGTAAGCCAAGCTCCACAGCTAGTGACTCTTCAATCATAGTCACAGACGATCCTTCATCAAACAAGGCATAGGTGTCGATACTTTTTCTTCCATTATGTAATGCGACCGGCAAGATTCGG